GCCTCTCCCGTGCCAGCCTTTTTCAAGGCTGAAATGTATAAAATGTAGAACAACGATTTTTCAATCTTTTCCTTTGCAAGTAGCAAACCTTAAGATGGCTCCAGTGACGGAGCCGTGCTGCTTGGCGGCGCCGGCAGGGATCAGGGACCTGTTGGGATCTGTGTGGGGAGGCCAGCGAGGCGGCAGGGATGCTGCGGAGGTTGGGCTCAGCTTGCCCACGTGTAGGGCTGCAGGGCACCGTGTTTGCCCCTTCCTTACCCAGAGCACGGGAACCCTGCGCTGAGGTTTGCTCAGTGATGTGACCAACTCCTGGCCAGACCTCAGCCCCAAGCAGGGGGGGTGTGTGGGGTGTCTGTCCCCCAAGCCCAACCTCTCTTGAAGGCTCCTTGCCAAAAATAAATCTTTTTCCGTGTTCTGCAGGGGTGGGATGCAGTGAGGCTGTGTTACAACTGGTCCCTGCCTGGGCTCTGGGCAGGAGAGGCTGCGGTTTGGTGTACAATAATCACTTTCCTGTAGGACATGACTCAAAAGGGTCCCCAGATTGGCATTGTGATGGCCGGAGTCCCCATGCTCTCCCTGTTGCCTGGGGGCCCTGTTTTACCTCTGCTTTGTCCTGCTTGGGCTCCTGAATAATGGAAGGGCTGTAAGCTGATCTGGCCCCGCTCTCCGGTTTCCCCAGGGGAGACATGGAGGCCTGGCCACCACCTTGGCCTCACGCTGCCTCTCTCCTTGCCAGGAATCAGGTGTTGGACGGGAGCTGAGCCGGGGCAGGGTGAGGGCTGGGTGCTGTGGGTACCTGCGGTGGGTCCCCTTGTGCCTGTCCCACCCCAGTGCTCGGCACTGGGGACACTGATTCCCCCTGGCCCCCCAGGCTGGGTCCGTGCCTGTGCAGCAGTGTGCCCTGCTCGAAACAGCCTTTGCGCCTGGGGCTTCTCTCTCTTCTCCAGGTTATTTCAAGAAAAAGCAAAAATGTGCCTTTTAGCCTCATTTAAGCCACCTCTCTGTTCCCCAGGCAAAATAATAATTCAGTGAGTGGAGAGTGTGAGCACCGGGTTTTGGGCCAGAGGGAAGTTTGCGAGTGGCTCTGGGTGCCGAGGTGCGCGTTGTTCCTGGGTGCTGGGGCCGTGCCCTGGCCCTCGCAGGGGTGCGGGTGGAGAGTCCCTTTTCCAGCACCCCAACCAGCATTTGGGATTTGCCCCATAGCACAAGGAGGTTGGGGACGGGACTGGCTGGGAAGGTAAGAGGACCCAGGCCCACATCGTGGTGGGCACCGCGGGCTGCGTCCTGGCTCTGGATTCCTTTCCAGCTCAGGGCAAGCTCATGGATGTGCCTGGTGAAGGTCAAATCCTGCCCTAGCTCTGCACCCCAAGGTGGCATGTGGGGACGAAAGGAGGATTCTGGTGGCTCTGCTGCACCCCATAGCAGTGCCGTGTGCTCCCCAAAGGTGTGTTTCTATGGCGGGGGGGGG